GCACAACCAGAGGATAGGTATGAGAAGCTGCTACGAAGAAGTGGGGAGGGCAGCTCACGCCCCTCTGAAGTATGGTGAGGTGGGAGTAAGAAAAGGCTCCCAAAAATAGAAAAGAGTGGAAAATTCCTAACCAGAAATAAAAGAGGTGGATATGTATTTAGAATTATCGAGGAACCCCCGACAAACCCACCCCGGTTTTGGTCGGCGTCCATATAAACGAAGCCGCAGCAAACAGAAATCAGTTGAGTTCCCAGAGTCAGTCTCCAGTTGAAGCAACCCTCGCAGATAGCTGACCAAGATTCGCGCAAATTCCGGACTCCTCTTCAATCCAAGAATAATTATTTTGAAGAGCGACTTAGATCCAGACCACCAAAATAAGTTTTTTTAGACTTTCGTCCGAAGACACCGAAAACCAATTTCTTAAAGAGCAAACAACTTGAAGCGTTAAAACTCGCCTAACGGAAAACAACGTGTCACAATCCATAGAACGGGTCGGGAGATAGATGCAGTCCTATGTATCGAACAACTAGACATAAAGTTTGTTATCTTTTCTTTGATATCTTGAACTTTTGAGTTTTCATTTTATTTTCTTTTTATGCATATTTTGTGTGGTGTCACCCCGTTGAACCCGATTTGCATTACGGCCCCAACTACTGATTGATCTCGTCTGCCTAAGATCAATTCACAACGTGGGTAGGCAGACTGGAGATCAATGCAGTTACTTTGGTAACCAGGCGTTGGAAGCGAGTTGGGAACGACGAGGGCTGATATCGAATCTAACCAGATTCCCACCCGAATTAGGTTAGAACGTCACATTTGGGTGCCACGACCGATACCAAGCCAGTTGGTCGTCACAGGACGAGACAACACGACTGACACGACAGGCGGACATCACGTTTGGAGCGGCGACACCCGAACGGAGCAGCATGGAGCGAACAGCTGGCGCCGCGGCGAGGACGTCACAGTTGGTGCCGTGGTAGAACAGGATAGGACGTCACAGTTGGCGCTGCGACCAGGGGACGACGTCACATATATATATATATTCATGCACGTTTCATTAAATAATATATGAATAATAAATAATATATGAATGAAAAGATTCTGCCTAAATACACACAATATATATATATATATATATATATATATATATATATATTAAATTAGATTAAAGTATGTACTTCTGTATTCCTTTTCAAGCAAATTTTGGCATCAAAAGATTCCAAAATTCGCTTGAAAATGAAACAGAACTAGGTAATTTAATTTCATTTCTATAATTAAATTGGAAGAATTTTGCTTCTGTTTTAGAATTAACAACAAGAAAAGTAATTATGATCTAGGCTGTATCGAGCACTGTTTCATTTTTTTTTAAATAAAACAAAAATACTAAAGAACTCCGGATCATCAACCAAACGGTTCTTTGCTATTTTATCAATAAATTTGCACACACACACACACACACACACACACACACACACACACACACACACACACACACAAATATATGTATATATATATATATATATATATATATATATATGAATGAGAGTAAGAACAAATGGAGTAAAATGACACTGTTCGTAGCATTTACGTTTAAAAAAGTGCTCAATACAAAGTAGAGCAATATATTATCATTTTATTATAAGAGATTATAATAAAAACATCTCCACACAAAAATCTTTCATGTTTCTATAATTTGATTGTACTTCTTCATGCGATGGTAAGTAAGTGGTGATTAAATGATTTTTAAGAAAATATAAAAACAAATTTCGCTGGAAGAAATCAAAACGAATGTCGCTGAATTAATACAAAATTTGAGAAAATGTGAAATTTCTATCCCTTCACGATTCCATTGTCTCTCGGCTTTTCGAAGAATTGATAAAATGGAATGGGTTTCAGGTGTGATATGAGAAGATTAAACGAGATTAAAGAATCTCGAGACCAGTGAAGGAAGCCAAGAATCACCTTCATATAATCTGAGAAATTTATGCCACAAGCATAGCTTAATCTGAAACAAGGTCACGAATTTGGTGATGGTAATGGTGAGGATTGTTGTTTCCTCATAAAGAAATTTTTAGCATTCATTGACCAAATATATATATATTCCTGCATTTCGTACGGACTTTTTTTTATTTTATGATCCATAAATATATATATATATGTGTGTGTGTGTGTGTGTGTGTGTGTGTGTGTGTGTGTGTGTGTGTGTGTATTATAAATTAACTGATTTAAAATATGGTTTCTTCGCTACACAGGAATTACCATGTTTCAAAAACCGAAGCTAAAAACTTCAAATTTAATTATATAATTAAATTAAAAGCATTAGTTCTGCACCCCTCCCTAGACTTAACCTCTTTTTCGAACGTAACTCATAATTGATACAATAATAGTTAATAACAATGAACACGCTGCCGCCCCTGTCTAAATGATTGAATTTCTCTGTATGCTTGGAAACAAAAAATTATGAATTGTATGTGCGTTTAAAACTCAGTAAATTTAAAAATAAGTTATTCCAAAATTCGCTTGAAGATGTAACAGAACTAATGCTTTTAATGTAATTATATAATTAAATTTGAAGTTTTTAGCTTCCATTTTTGAAACATGCTAATTCCTGTGTAGCGAAGAAACCATATTTTAAATCAGTTAATTTATAATATTTATGCTCTGTAAATTTACACTGAGCACTGTTTTGTAAAAATAAAAATATCAGTAAGAACACCGGATTATATATCTTACTGTTCTTTCTTTTTACTATAATATATATATATATATATATATATATATATATATATATATATATATATATATATATATAGATAGATAGATAGATAGATAGATAGATATAAATTACATAGCAGGGAAATCAAAATTTACGTCATGAGAATAGACTATTTCTACCGACGCCAATGCTTTGGCTTTATTCAACTTTTGAGTGGAAGAAAATATCGTTAAATTTTCAAATGTTAAATTTAAAAAACCTTGAGAATATTCTTAATGACAACAGCGAATATTTTAAAGCATACTTAAATTTAAATTTAAAAGTTTTCACATATACCTTATTTACACACACACACACACACACACACACACACACACACACACACACACACACAGATTCCGCTTTGAGATCTTCAAAATATTTAATAATAAGAGTAAGTCAAATTGTTTTATATACAATGCTATATATCTGATATCTATCTATCTATTTTTGCTACACAGGTTTCGGGTCTTGTGACCTTCATCAGGCGAAGACGGTTATTTCTACATATTATTTAACGAATATATACACACATACTGGCAAAAACAAACACACTAGGTAAACCACCACGAAAACATATACACGGTCCTACTCACCATAAAAAGTGTGATATATATATATATATATATATATATATATACTTTTTCCTTGTAATAAAATAATATACCGTGTGTAACATCAATATTGTCAATTTTAGATTAAGTTTTGAACTGTTGTATCTTAGAAACGTTTAAAATATATATATATATATATATATATATATATATATATATATATATATAATTACTCTTTAAGTTTAGCAGAAGAATCGTATGGGAATCGATCATAAACGAAAATGACATGTTCATCGTTAATTAATCATCGCTAAGGATCGGTAGCTCATGAAGGATTGAAATAAAGTTCAAAATATATATATATATATATATATATATATGTGTGTGTGTGTGTGTGTGTGTGTGTGTGTGTGTATATAATTCCAGGATCATATATAAATATAATACCATTTGATAATTAATAGGGATAATTTCAAAGAGGATATAAATCCAAAGCGAGCTCAATGTCAGAAATCCATCAGTAATAGTTTATTTCATGGAGTCAGGTTGATTCTGAATCATCAGACCAAGAGATTTCGCAACATCATAAAATCTCTTTTCATCATATATATATATATATATATATATATATATATATATATATATATATATATATATATATATATAAATTCATGAATCATTCATACAAAAAAACAAATATAGAGGTTAATGATTTAAATGGCGAGAATACAACTTGCAAACAATATAAATAAGATACACCAACCCCGAACCTTTATATGAATGATATGATCTCTGTTTATAGATTCCAGATGCATAAGGTCTTTTTTTAGTTTTTACAAGCTTTCGTCTGTTCTTACAGACATCCTCAGGTATGGAAATAGATTTTGTTCTTTTTTTTACTTCTCGATAATAAGAGAACAACGAAAATAGAGATGTAATCCGAAAAAATGCTATGAGAAATGTGTTATTGTTTTGGAACGTGCGGTCGCAACGCTGAGTTTGAATTTTAAATTTTAAGGTTGTGCGTTTTTTTGTACAAATATAGTAATAAGAGAATTCTTTTGTACTGGTAGGTTTTCCGTCAATGTGGCATGAACTATATTGTTCAACAATTACAGTAATGTCACACTTATTATCCGAAAGTTGTACGTGGGGTCAGTTATTTTAATTTCAATTACAGATGCAATTATAATTTATAAATTCATGAATCATTCATCGAATATATATATATATATATATATATATATATATATATATATATATATATATATATATATATATACAATAACAAAGATTGCTTTTCACAAAAATTAAAAATAAATAAAAGCTAACCAGAATATTTCTGGAAGATGATGTTTTTAAGACAACCAGTATTTGTAACTCTTAATATGAAGAGACAGAGCATTACTTGTAATAAATAAAATTAAATGTTTATTTATTTTATCCCTCGTCGGAGTTTCACAGAGATTATATCCACTTTCAGGGAATTTCATTGTAAGATTCTTATAATCTTGAAAAGTGGATGTAATCCATTTGAAAGGAGGCCATAACTCAGTAGCCCTTGGCATTTCTTTCTGTATTGAAACAACAGATGCCAGATGAGTAGGATGGCATATATGTGACACCTGATAGACAGATAGATAGATAGCAACTAACTGAAAGTTGTTGAATAAATATATATACATATACACTCAAGAATCAAATGAAATAGTGATAGATAGATAGATATGAACAGACTCAGATAGATAGATAGATAGATAGATAGATATGAACAAACTCAGATCGATCGATAGATAGATAGATAGCAAGTAACTGAAAGTTGTTGAATAAATATATATATATATATATACACACAATAATCGAATGAAATAGTGATAGATAGATAGATAGATAGATAATGAACACTTAGATAGATAGATAGATAGATATGAACAGACTCAGATAGATAGATAGATAGATAGATAGATAGATAGATAGATAGATAGATAGATAGATATGAACAGACTCAGATAGATAGATAGATAGATAGATAGATAGATAGATAGATAGATATGAACTCAGATCGATCGATAGATAGATAGATATGAACAGACTCAGATAGATAGATAGACATGAACAGACTCAGATATATAGATAGATATGAATAGACTCAGATAGAACTCAGATCGATCGATAGATAGATAGATATGAACAGACTCAGATATGAACAGACTTAGATAGATAGATAGACTCAGATAGATAGATAGATAATATGAATAGACTCAGATAGATAGCTAGATAGATAGATGAATGAACAGATAGATGATATGAACAGACTATGATAGATCAGATAGATAGATGAATAGATAGATATGAATAGATGTGAATAGATTGATAGATAGATAGATTGAATAGATAGATAGATTGATAGATAGACTCAGATGAATAGACTCAGATAGATAGATAGATAGATAGATAGATAGATAGATAGATAGATAACAATGTATGATAGAGAGGATAATTTAATATAAGAAGATAGATTCGCCTATCGTCCTTTTCACACTCTTCCCCCGTCTTTTGAACAGGATTAGTGGTTTAACCTTTGTTCGATTTTTAGGATTCGGTTTCCGGTTCCTTCTAAAGCCTTTTATTCTCTTTCACTCTTGCTATCCACTTGTGACTTACTGGAATTATCGCCTTGCTTTCGGTGAATTAATTAAAACAAATGAACAGCCGAACATATTATCAGATTGAAAGATATATATATATATGTGTGTGTGGAGATAGAAATTGAAATGGACAATATCAATAAAGACAAAAGGAAAACTTATAGCCGACGCGTTTCGTCCTCTGAGGGACAAATGCAAGGACATTATTTTCTGATAAGTATTTATACACAAGTGTAAAATTTTATTGGTTTTTCAAAAGTTTTAAATTTAACAACGCACGTAAACATTCATCAGGTTGGCAGATAAGTCGTGAAAAGCTATGGAGGACGTTAAGTGACACAATTCAATGACTAATAAACGAAAGGGAGTAAATAATGTTCTTAATTCAAATTATTTTGTATGGGATTAATTTATGTCATATATTTTGAATAACATAAGGTTATGAATTTAAGCATTTTCTTTTAATTTTTTAACATTTTTATAGTCATGTATGTTGGTTTGGGAAAATAATAAAGTATAAATAAAGTATTATGAATAATATTATGAATAATAGTTGGTTTGGGAAAGATTTGTCATTTGATCCTAGTAATATCAAATATTAAAACTGAGCCATGAATCATTCATACAAAAAACAGATTAGTGAATTTAATGCCATAAATGGCGAGAATACATCTTCGCAAACAAATTTATTAAAATTACATTAACCCACGAATCTCTAGATGAATGTTATGATCCCTGCTTTTAATAAATTCAACTTGTATAAGGTCTTTTTTTGCTAGTAATGTCATCTATTCATACAGACATCACCAGGCATGGAAATTGATTTGTTTTTTTGTTTTTTTATAAATCCATCCAGGTAATAACGGGACACGAAAGATTAGATGTGAATTGAAATATGTTTTTTTTTAGAAATGTGTTATTGTTAACTGTAAGAAATTAACTATTAACTGCAGCTATTAACCCAGAAGTTGCACGTCGGATCAGTTCTTTTTAAATCAAATATGTGGTGCAGTTCAATTTATATTACAATGAATCATTCATACAAAAAACAAATCAATTTCCATGCCTGATGATGTCTGTATGAACAGATGAAAGTACCAGCAAAAAAAGACCTTATACAAGTTGAATTTATTAAAAACAGGGATCACAACATTCATCTAGAGGTTCGTGGGTTAATGTAATTTTAATAAATTTGTTTGCGAAGATGTATTCTCGCCATTTATAGCATTAACTTCACTAATCTGTTTTTTGTATGAATGATTCATGTAATATAAATTAAACTGCACTACATATTTGATATATATATATATATATATATATATATATATATATATATATATATATATATATATATAGATAATAGATAGATAGATAGATAGATAACAATGGGCAATACACAGACAATAATTTAATTTCAGTTGATAGGTTCACCTATCGTCCCCTTCACACTCTTCCTAGTCTTTGGAACAGGATTAGTGGTTGGCGGTGGGGGGGGGGGGAAATATGGTTCTTTAAATTTTGTTCTGTTAATTAGTATTTAAATTATTTTAGTTTGGATTAATTTATGTCATATATTTTAGTTAACTTGAGGTTATAAATTTACCCATTTCCTTTTCATTTTTCACAAGTTTTTAGCCATGTATGTTGGTTTGGGAATGTTTTGTCTTTTGCCTTTAATATATATATATATATATATATATATATATATATATATGAACATTTTATTAAAAATTTAAATATTCATGGAGACCTACCGGACACTATTCGGAAATACGTGTCTACAATACTGATATAATAGCATCACCCACATGCAAAAAATAAAAATAAAAACTAAAAATAATGGAAGCCTTATTAATAAAAACAAACAAACCAACACTTAATAATATTAAATATGAACATGGACATAATATCTTGACCGTGTTTTGAAACAAAAAATGAAAACATTTTATAAAACATACATACAACAAACTATTTTTAATTTTAACAGTTAAAATATAATCCTTGAAAATGGCTAAATGTATAGCCGAAAGCGCTCGGATAAAAAGAACATTCGGACAGTTTTTATATAATTTATCATCCGAAAAGAAAAAAAAATTAGATCGCATGAGAAATTGTATAAAAAACTAAATAAAAGCACCATTTTCAATGAAATGTGCATGAAAGAAGGATTGCTGCCTAAATACACACACACACACACACACACACACACACACACACACACACACACACACACATATATATATATATATATATATATATATATAAAAGTGAACATAGAAGTCAACACTTAGAGGCGACAGTCTGTTTCATGCTAGATGCAATCGTCAGGCCATATATATATATATATGTATGTATTTACATAGATAGATTTTTCATTATGGGATTCCAATAACTATTATTTAATGTCTTCCTTTTGAATTTTCTTCCCACGAAGGTCGATTTAATCACTGTTATCATTGAAAACCTCTTGGCTGTTTTGCTATTAAATAGAGGAGACATAAGCAGAGCATGACGCATGTGTCACATGAGAAAGTAAATAATACTTATGTAAAGACTGCATTCACGTCCCGGGCGGGAGACAAGATCCGGATTCAATCACAATGAGGCATGAATCTCATACTCACATAAACGCACAAGAACACGTGCAGCGATTCGTCAACGCATGCGCACCAAGATTCCTAAATTCGCTGGCAAATATGCCGTCTGTTTAGCTACGTTTTTTTTTTTTTCTTCGTTAAACATTAATCTTGTAAAAAAACAAAACAAAACAAAAAACAGTTATATATTTTCATGCCAAGGCTGTTTTAGTAGGATCTCTTTGAATAACTGGTATTATGCTATGTGTTTGATTGAATGGCAATGTATGAGTTTCTAGTGGTGTATGAGTAAATTGTAAAGAATGAATGGGTCGTGAACCAGATTAACTACGTGTAGGATAGTCAGTGACGACTAACCTCTCCCCAACACTTTTGACCTTGTGCCACATAAAATGTAATATTTCAGAATAAAAACATTACGCTTGTAGCATTTTTAACGAAATCTTTAATTCATATGAAATTTTAGCAACACTATTCACTTATCAACGTATTTTCCTTGCCTTTCAATGATCCTAGCAGAGACGAGGTACAGAGATGAGTTTAAGGGCTTTTGTGCATGTAACATAATCGTTGATTATTTAAACCCTGCTGTATGAGTCTATTTTCAATGCATATTACACGATATGTGTTGAGTCGACATAGCTAGAGTGAGGGGAATAGATGGATTCATGCCTTTCGCGTTTGTGCGAAAGTAAATGCAACAGACTAGGTTATCGGCTCGCTGATACAAAAGTCAGCGCAATATAATCGCCACATTACCCAGAAACCCATGTCCATTCCAAATATAAGCGATTTTGGCTGTCCAGAACTTTTCATTATCTGGGATTTGCTATGTCATCTTCGGAAAGATGACGGAGTAGTTTCTTCTTGCCTTCTCCGCGGTTTCGAATTCAGAGATTTACTTCCCATTAAACTGATTTGCTAGACAAGACTAGACATCTTAGTCTATTCTGCTATTTAACAAATTCATGGTGAAGAAGAAATTTGCGCGATAGTGTCTTAGAAGAATCATATATATATATGTGGAACCACGTCTTAATTGCTGGTGTTCCCAAGTCCATCCTGACCCGGGCTGGTAGCACCTGTTAGGATCCCAATTATGGGCAAATAGTTAACCCCCAAACTGGAGTCAAAACACTATGAAAGGGTAAAAATAGGTTTTAATACCAGCCACGAATTGAAAAATGGCACAAGAAAAAATTATTACCAGCAGTACATTTTTTTAAGAAAAAAAAATTACCAGCAATACATTTTTGAAGAAAAAATATTACCAGCAATACATTTTTGAAGGAAATAAATTTACCAGCTATACATTTTTGAAGAAAAAAATTATTACCCAGCAATAAAAAATCTTTTCGGTAATAAATAACCAATGAGGTTGATATGCCGTAAAACAAACCAGATTAAACAAAGCATTTGATGTTTTAAGCCTTCTCAAACCAGTGTTAAAAAATATTACCAGCAATAAAAATCTTGTCGGTATTAAGTAACCAATGAAGTTGATATGCTGTAAAACAAACCAAACCAAACCAAACCAAACATTCGATGTTTTATATAGCCTTCTCAAACCAGTGTTAAAAAATATTACCAGCAATAAAATCTTGTCTATAACAATGAAGTTTATGCTGTAAAACAAACCAAACCAAACCAAAAAACATTAGCCTTCTCAAACCAGTGTTAAAAAAATATTACCAGCAATAAAAATCTTTTTTTAAGTAACCAAAAATATTAAAACAAACCAAACCAAACCAAACCAAACCAAAAATGTTTCTTTTCAAACCGGTAAAAAATAACCAATAAAAAATAAGTAACCAATGAAGTTGATATGCCGTAAAACAAACCAAAGATTAAACAAACCAAACATTTGATGTTTTATATAGCCTTCTCAAACCAGTGTTAAAAAATATTACCAGCAATAAAAAAAATCTTGTCGGTTTATAAGCCTTCTAACCAATGTTAAAAATATTGATAAAAATGCTGTAAAACAAACCAAACCAAACCAAACCAAACATTCGATGTTTTATATAGCCTTCTCAAACCAGTGTTAAAAAATATTACCAGCAATAAAAATCTTGTCGGCATTAAATAACCCACTGTGGTTGATATGCCGTAAAACAAAACAAACCAAATATTTGATGTCTTATATATCCTTCCCAAACCGCGTTGAAAAATATTACCAGCAATAAAAATCTTGTCGGCATTAAATAACCCTTTGAGGTTGATATGCCGTAAAACAAACCAAACCAAGCCAAATCTTGTATTGGATGAACATTTATTAAAAAAAAATGGTTTAGCAAGATTGTATTGCGTCGGCGTTCCAAAAGATGAGAACCTACCAACCTATACTGAAATATCAACAGTCAAACCCGCGTAGGTTGATCTTCTAAATTTGATATGTGTATTGGGATGGAATACGCAACTATTTCATTCCTCAAATGTAATTATCAAGTGAAATTGTCCTATGACCATCAATATACTAATATCAATATACTAATATCAATATACTAATATCAATATACTAATATCAATATACTAATATCAATATAATAATATCAATATACTAATATCAATATAATAATATCAATATACTAATATCAATATACTAATATCAATATAATAATATCAATATAATAATATCAATATACTATGCTGAGATCTTGATAGACTTAGCTTCAATTGGCATTGTTCATACCCAACTCCTAAAGTAACATGTGGCTAATTGTACCTGAGCTTATCCCGTAGAATGGTATTCGTGCCAAAAGCCAACAACCTTAGGTAGGATTTGAAATCGTTTCCTCGATCCTGTTTTCCTTGTTGTTAACTTTTTAGAAATTCTACACTTTTCAAAATTATTTTCTTTAATGAATACAAACAACATGACACCAAAATATATTTATAGTTGAAATTAAAACGAATCTGACTCGTTGAAATAACAGCATTCAAACAAATAGAAAAAGATATGATAAAAAAGAAACTGTCTTGTAAAATATAACTCGATTTTTTTGTTTGTATAAAGAATTGTTTTGGTGATTGAAAAGAAATCCGAATGCCAATGTGTTCCGTTTACTGTAATTTGTTTCATTAGTGTTTCGGATGCAGACGAGAATGTTATATGTTTTCAGAAGAATTTAATTTTTTAACGCAGATTACTCTTTCATTGTAAATTTTTTCATTTTTTTTTTCTTGCTTAGGTCAAATTTGTTGACAATTTTATAAATTGTTTCAAATGACTTAACAGACGCTGATTTTATATCAGTTCTTGTTTCCATTTTTATTTTTGCTTTAAGTTTAATTTCCTTTGTAATTCGACAAAATCACGACTGTGAGAACTGTACCTCGTTTTCCTGGCTAAATAAGATAATGGCGTCCAGTTTTAAAAATGGATGAATATGGCTTCTTTCAATTTCATAGACCTGAAACATTTAAACTAACGTTTCTTTTGAATCTGAAGACCACGGCATTATTTTCGTTTTATTTTTTTTTAAGAAATTATCTGATCAAAGTCAAAACTCCATGTCCGATTTAAAGGGAAAAACAATCAGTGGATAAATGAAAAGATCTTGATAAGGACTTCAACACTTGGGGAGAGAAGAAATCGATTGAATCTTTTTTTCCATATCGTGTTGAAAGTGAATCCAGAAGGAAAATATTATCTTGATGACGAACATTTGGTTCGCAGCTAAAAAACTACAGGAGCAAAAAACTGCAAGCGTAGAAGTCAAGACAGAAAGATGGGAGACAGCAGAAAAAAAAAAAAAGAGTAAAAAAAATGTATGGAAGAATAGATAAGAAAAAACACAAAGCAAAATAAAACAGGAGAGTTAAAAGAAAAAATGAAACAGTAGAAAAGTAAAAAGTAAAGAAGTGTGGATTTGCAGTAAAATTAAATTAAAAAAATATGGATGTACAGAAGTGTTAAAAGAAAAACTGAAAATACAAAATGAAATATGAATTTCAGAAAGTAAAAAGAAAATAAGGAAAGGAAAATAATAAAACGAAAAATATGAATGTAGAGAGGGGTAAAAAAAAAATATGGAATCGCAAATGTTGAAAGAGACAAAAGGAAAATGTTGAAAACTAATTATAGAAAATAGATAAAAAAATATTGACGTACAAAAATGTAAAAAAAAGAAAATATGGAGTAAGTTGTTAAGTGTAACAAAGAAGGAAAGTATGGAAGCACAGAACAGTAAAAGAAAGAAAATTTAATTATGAAACTATTGTGGGGACCTACCTATAAATGGACTCTTCCACACCTATATAACATGGCTACCAACTCTGAGTAAAGGGAGTCACCAAGTGAGGGTCACCGAGTAGTAGACACCGAGTGAGTGAGTGAGTGAATCAGTGAGTCAGGACACCAGTGAGAGAAAATACTCTCCAGTCCACATTTACCTTTGTACTACGTTTCCCAGAATATACTATTTAACCTTAATCCGAGTCCGTGTTATCTTTCTATGGTTCTACACCATAACATAAACAGTAGAAGTTTAAAATAAAATAAAAACTTCAGACGATTATAAATAAAAGAGGAAATATGGAAGTATAAACAGTGAAAGGAAAAGGAAAAAAATGCGAATACGAAAGAGAAAAACAAAAAGAGATAATATGAAAGATGAAGGGGGAAAGTAAAATTGAAATAGCACAGTTGTAAAAGAAAAATATATGGAACACCATCAGAGAGAAAAAATGAAGATACATATAGAATAGAACAGTAAAATGAAAATAGAAAATATGGATCCGCAGAAGAGGAAATATAGAAGTACAAACGAGTAAAAAAATAAATAAATATGGAAAAGTAAAAGTCTAAAAAGAAAAAATCATGACGTATACAAGAATCAAATAAAATACATAAATAGATACAAGGAAAATATGGAAGTACAGAAAAGCAATATTAGAAATGGCATATGGAATGGCAGAAGAAACAAATGAAGTCTGAGACTGCAGGAGATTAAAAACAAAAAGAGTATCAAATAAAACAGCGTAAAAAGAAAAAAAAAGAGAAAATAGCAGAAAAGTAAAACGGAAAAGAAAACATGGAATAGCAGAAAACGAAGAATAATGAAAACGAAAATATGGTATGGAATATTACAAGAGTAAAATGAAGAAAATATAGAAATACAGACGTTTCTATAGAGAAAAATATATAAGTAAAGACAAGTAAAAAGAGAAATCATGGAAGAATAAAAAGAACAAGTAAATATGGCAGACGAGTAAAAAAATGGGGGGAAAATTAGAAAGTTTAAAAAAAAGACTAAAAAGTGAAATTAAAATATGGAAGAACAAAAGTGTAAAAACGAAAAAGGAAATAATATAGTTCATAAGCACAAAGCGAAAAGAGAAGTTGGGAAAAGGCAGTTTGGAAATAAAGAAGAATAAAAATAAAAGTATGGAAGGAAGGAAGTGTAAAAATGAAAGATACAAATAATATTGTACAGAATTAGAAAAAAATGATATACAGTAAAACAAAAGAATGAAAATACCAATTTCAAATAGAAGACTAAAAAGAAAAAGCTAAATGTGAAGTACAAAAAGTAAGAAGAAAAACATCAAAACAAATAAGGAATATTAAAGTCAAAATCTAAAAAATAATTACGGAAGTAGAGAAGCGTAAATATATATCTAAACATGGAATGGCAGATGATTAAAATGAAAAAGAATATATGAAATAAAGACTAGGAAAAAGACGGTAGAAAATAATGTTGTGTAGACTTGTAAAAAGACAAAAATGAAATTATTGAGTACGAAAGTGTTAAACGCTACATTTAAAGTATTGAATCTTAAAAAGTAAAACTAAAATAAAATATGGAAGGGGAGAAGAGTTAATTATGAATGTACAGAAAAATAACAAGAAAAATAAAAAAAAGTTACAAATGAAAAGTATACTATAGAGAATAAAAAATCAAAAACAGAAAAAGAAAATATGGAAGTACAGATGGGTAAAAATAAAATGAAATTTAGAACAACAAATCAGTAGAAAAAAAAAATGAAAAAATAAAAATAAAAAATGTGAACTTGGGAAATCAAATACGGAATAGCAGTAGTACAAAAAATGAAATTTGGAACTTTCGAACATTAAATATAAAAAATAAATATAGAAATAGAGAAGAGTGAAAACAAAACAGTGAATATGGAAGAGCAGAAAGGTGATAAATATGCGAATAAATGAAGTACAAAAGAATAAAAAGTGTAATAAAAATAATATAGTACAAAATTTAAAACGAAAAGAAAATCACGAATGTTTAGAACAATTAAAAAGTATGGAAGCAAAGCACAGTAAAAAGAAAATATGACACCGCAGAGCAGATTGTCTCGGTAGCGCAGTTAGTCTCATAATGAAATTACGGAGTAGAGAAGCGGAATATGAGGAAAATTTATAAAATAATGGAGAGAAAAACGAAAGAAAAAATGAAAATATGGAATACAATTGGTGTAAAAGAAAAGGGTGATATATGGAATAGCGGAATAAAAAACAAAAACAGAAATATGGATTAAGATTTAGAAAAAAATTGTTTTTTTAAAATAATTTCACTAGAAGTAAAGCATTAAATCCACTAAGATGCAAAGGGTTACTGAGTGTGAAAACATAGGAGAAAAAAAAGAATAACATTATTAAGGAGAACAATAAAAGAACGGAAATTAAGAAGATTGAAATTACATTTAGATTTTTGAGGATCAAATTTGACTGGAAAGCAAAAAGTCGGAAAAGTTCCACAAGCAAGAAGTGTGAGAAAAGAAACAGTTAGCATAGAACTTAAGGTTACATCTAGTCATTTCAAATGTAAAATGATGAGACCTAACTGACAATCTAGTCGTCGTCGGCATCCGTCCGTCTCGAGAAACGATGGAGGCGCGGTGTGCTACGAGCCTGGGCGGGATATATGGAGAACTAGGGCTGCACGGACGTCTAGTTCCCCCTCTGAACACGCAGAGACCAAAGGAGAGGATAAACCAATACAGTTTGGTACCAGCGCGGCTGCAGAAGTTGCCGGAAGGTAGCACAAAGTGCCGTCCATCCGGTTTTGAATTCAGAGTTGACCTTCTCCTAGACCAGTTGCCATCCAAGGCTATAGAACCGAGTCTTTCCTGCTATTTACCCATAGCTAGAGGAGGATACACACCTTTCCCCGGTGGTATTAACACATAATGTGAATAGATTCGACTGGAATTCGAACTCGGCTCTCCGATTCCTCAATCCAAGCCGCTCTCCATTACTCCACCGTGCCTCCTCTAGTACTGCTCTTAAAATTAGCAAAATTGAGGTACGAAAGAGGCAAGCTCATCAAAACAATTATCAGGAAAATAGGCGGTAAGTGGGGCCCAGATGTGTAAAAAGAATATTGATATTTTACTGAAGAAGCTTAGTGATGCAATATTTGAAGTATTAAATAGTCAGAGTTAAACGTTAGAAATGACCATATTAGACAATAATGGTTCAAATAATCCAATTCAAATAATCGAGATTTAATAAAAAATTAAGTTCAATAAGGCTAATAAAATGTGAGAAAATAATTCGTATGTGCTTGTAAGTTACGCGTTTTCTAAAGTGAAATCTATCTTAGCAAAATAATTTGAAAATATTTTTAAAATCATACATGGCGATCGAGATATATATTTCATATTGAAAATAAATCCAAGAAATTCTAAAGAATTCATTCCAAGAACCATTAATTATTTCAGTTAATCCGGATGATACAGGTTCCTATCGATAAAAAAAGCATCTTTATTGTATTCAACTTTGGTAATGTCATTTTTGTAACATACACAAAAGTAGAAAGAACAAGTAGAAAGTAAGACGACAATGTGTCTTCTCAATGGATTTATTTAATTTTTACAGTGAGGCGATCATGAGCAAATTAAAAATCCTACCTGGATGAATTATCGACGACCACAATCTTAATAATATAAGATATGAAGATGCCACGGTGTTGATAGCAAATACAGAAAGGAAACTCGTACAGAAGGTGAAAAAGAAAAGCGAGAAGAATGGACTAATTATCCATCGTAAGAAGACAGAGCATTTGGCTCGTGAAAGATGCCTTCCAAAAGCTAAATATTAAGAAACAAAGAAAAGAGTAAATGGATTCTTGTGTAATATCAGTACTCCTATATATGGCAGTGAATATTGGACAATATCATCGCAGATGAAGAAGCGACTTCAGGCAAAAGAAATGTGGTTCTACAGAAGGATGATGGGAATGCCAGAGACTAAACATGGGAGTAACGAGAAAGTTTTAAAGAAAACCTTATACAGAGAATCATAAAGAAACAATTGACATTTCTAGGGAACATAATTAGGAAACTGAGCTTATAAAATTTGACACCCATAATGCATTTACATCATTTATTTACATCATTCGGACTGTTGTCCTCATCTTTATTGCCATATTACGACCTTTCGGCCGTTGTACGTTCCGGCTTTCTTCAGGAACTGTTTCTATTTTTGAGATGAGGTATTGTAACTATTTACATCATTCGGACTGTTGTCCTCGTCTTTATTGTCATGTCTACCACGTTTTGTTCGTTGTACGCTCCAGCCTTCTTCAGATGATTGAACTTTCTGCCTCGCTGCTATCCCTTTCTTTCTTTCTTTCTTTCTTTCTTTCTTTGTAGTTTTCTTTCTTTGGTAAAGAGATTCGATAACCGTTGGTTAAATTGCACCGCAGAAGCATCTGTCGGTTGTGTATCTTAACCAAAATATATCTTTTTGTCTCGCTATTGTTTCTTTTTTATTTATTAATATTCCCAAACTCTTTCTTTCTTTCTTTCTTTCTTTCTTTCTTTCTTTCTTTCTTTCTTTCTATTCCCACACTCTTTCTTTCGTTCTTCCTTTATTAATATGTCCACATTCTTTGTTTCTTTGTATCTTTCTTTCTTTCTTTCTTTCTTTCTTTCTTTCTTTCTTAATATTCTCGCACTCTCGAAGAACTTGTTTTATTAATTTTGTTTAATTTATATATGTAAATTTTTAATGTGACCATCTTACTTGTTAAACATCCGAGGGATTTCCACAGTTTCAGTGAAATAATTAAATTGTTTTGAAATATGTCTTAAGAGATTGTAGATAATTTAATGTTAAAAAGTGTCTTCATCCTTGTAATTTTTATCAAAACCTTTCCACCGTTATGTCCCTCGACCATTCATTTGATTCTACATTGGTCATTATTGCTTTTCTCTGCGATAAACTTAGTCTGTGTTTATTTTTTCATTTCATATGTCAGAAGAAATAAATTAAAGTCTATAATGTGTGCAATATGAAAGCCTCGGAATTTAAGGAAACAAGAATAGGAAAGTATTGAAAATAACAAAATAGTCGGTTTCGTTACTTTAGGTGTCAGAATTAAAAAAAAAGTATGGAAACATTGATAGTAGTAAATAACAAAAAATAGATAGTAGTAGAATTATGGGAGCCTAGAGTCGAAATAAACAGAAATATCATCAGAGCAAAAGTAAAGAAGATAAACATGGAAACACTTAAAAGATTAAAGCGACAGGATTTGAGAAAGATTTAATGTCAAGGGATGACAGGATTAACTAAGAAAAACGAAATAATCCAGAAATAGAAACTGAGAGGAAGAGAGGGAGAGAAATGGTGAAAAGAAAGAACTGAAACGAATGATAGAAAAAGAGAGAGAAAGTAAGGGTGAAAGATAAAGAAATCAGACACACATACAAATACAAGGAATGTAATGACCCCTATTGAATACTACGGAAAGTTCACCTATCTTTTGGTTCCCGCTCCTTCCGTCTCCGAGACATGCAATATCTCTGATGATGCATGTTCTTTCTTCTTTATCTACCAGCAC